CCGCGATGCAGCTACGGACGCTACGGCGGCGACGCCGACCAGGCGGCGCTGGTGGAGGGAGCGTTGGAGTGGGAGAGGGAAAGAAGGAGTAGGGAGGCGGAGGGAGGAACAAGGGGGAAGAGATGGGAGAAGAAGAAGAAGAAATTGGAGTTGGAGGAGTGCCTTCTCATCCCCCTCTCCTCCCCACCCCGTGCGTATCCCTTCGTGCCCTCCTCCACTTCGTCCGCATCCACCCCCTCCTCCCCCACTTCGCTCCCGCCTCCCACCCTTCCTCCCTCCTTCTCCGCCGCCGGCCGAAGACGGCGGCGGCGGCGGCAATCACGGCGACGACGACGACGACGACGACGACAACGACGCAAGCGACGACGACTACGACGCAAGCGACGACAAAGACGACGACGACGAAAAACGACGACAAACGCCGACAACAAACGACGACAAAGGGGCGCCCGCCGAGATTAAGGCGAACAACCGACGGACCAGCGCGGACGACGACGACGACGACGACGGCGGCGGCGACGGCGGCCGGCGCCGGCGGCGGCGGCGGCGACGCGGCGCGACGACGGCTGCGGCGGCGGCGGCGGCGGCGGCTGGCGGCGGCGGCGGCGGCGGCGGGCGCCTCCGCGCCCGTCGCCCCCGCCGTGGAGCCCGCGGCGCGCGAGCTGGCGAGGAGGCCCAGCCTCGGCGGCGCGGGCGCGCCCGAGAGTCGGGGCGGCCGTTCGTGCTCGCGGGCCTACTGCGGCGCGTCGCAGTGGGCCTGCTAGGGTTTGGGGTCTGTAGGGCCAACGAGCACGAGCGTCGCACCACACTTTTTTGATTCGCGGGTCGAGAGCGCACCTCTTCCGGTCGAAGCTAAGCGGGCCGCGCGAAGCTGGAATGAACAAAGAGGGGGAGCACGAGCGTCGCAACACACTCAACGCTGCTCACAGTACCGCGGCGTTCACATCCCACCCACCCTGGGCACCCACTACATATGAAGGCATACAATCAGAGTGCACTCGATGTCGGCGATCGCGACAATCGTCGAGCGCGCCCACGGGGGGGGTGGGGAGTTCGCCGCCATGCGGGAGGGGCTGAATCCGTGTGCCTGCGCGCATGCGATAAGGGTGTTAGGAATTAACCGCCATGCGGGAAGGGCAGAATCCGTGTTCGGGCACGCATGCGATATGGGGCTCAAGCATTAGCCGTCATGCGGGAGGGGCAGAATCCTTGTGCGGATGCGATAAGGGGGTTTAGGAATTAGCCGCCATGCAGGGGGGACAGAATCCGTGTGCGGGAGGGGCGCGATCCTCGAGCGGGAGGGGCACGATCCTCGAGCGGGCACGCACGGGATGGGGGGTTGGTTGGGAATTCGCCGCCACGCGGGGGGAGGGTGGAGGGGGAAGGGGAGGGGGGGAGGGAACTCCCGAGCGGGAGGGGCACGATCCTCGAGCGGGCACGCGTGGGATGGGGGTTTAGGAATTAGCCGCCACGCGGGACTGGGCACGATCCTCGAACGGCAAGGGCACGATCCTCGAGCGGGCACGCATGGAATCGGGGGTTTGGAATTAACCGCCGCGCGGGAAGGGCGCGATCCTTGAGCGGGACGGGCGCGATCCTCGAGCGGGCACGCATGGGATAGGGAGTTTAGGAATTAGCCGCCATGCGGGAGGGGCAGAATCCGTGTGCGGGCACGCATGGAATTGGGGTTTAGGAATTAGCCCCACAGGGCGGGCAGCGCGAGTCATTTTTACCTAACAGCGAAGACTGATAGGTTTCTATTGGTCTCAAAAGAGAGCATCATGACTCCCCAGGGTTACCTAACAGCGAAGACTGATAGGTTTCTAGTGGTCTCAAAAGAAAGCATCATGACTCCCCAAAGGGGTCTGGGCAGATGCCGGACGGGTGCCGCGAGAATCCGGGGAAATCCGGGGACTCCTTTTTTAGCCAACAGTAACACACTTCGTGGTCTTCAAGTTCCCAGAACTCCACAGCTGGGCATGATTTTGAATGCCCGGAGCCAACTGTAGACCACTTCGTGGTCTTCGAGTTCCCAGAACTCCACTCCTGGGTATGATTTTGAATACCCGGAGCCAACTGTAGGCCACTTCGTGGTCTTCGAGTTCCCAGAACTCCATTCCTGGGCATGATTTTGAATGCCCGGAGCCAACTGTAGGCCACTTCGTGGTCTTCGAGTTCCCAAAACTCCATTCCCGGGACCCGCGACCCAGCCCGGGGCCCGCCCCCTGACTCTTATCCGCATTTGCGGGGTGCTACATACGGCGGGGTCACGTGGGTTTCATTCACCGCGTGGTTCGCTCAAGTAGGAGAAGGAGGAGGAGGAGGAGGAGAAGGAGGAGGTCAAGGAGGGGGAGGTCGAGGAGGAGGAGGAGGAGGTCGAGGAGGAGGAGGAGGAGGAGGAGAAGGAGGAGGAGGAGGAGAAGGAGGAGGAGGAGGAGGACGACGAGGAGGAGGAGAAGGAGGAGGAGGAGGAGGAGGAGGAGGGAGGAGGAGGGAGGAG